AATTCTTGGAAGCGGGTACGAGTCCTTTTCAGTTATACTGTTTAAGAGCCCTGATGTTCACACAGCAACATTGGGTCCCATCCTTCTTCTGGACTAACACAACGAGAGTTGACCAGGGACTGTCTTGTTTCTCGACTATCCCTTCCTTAATTAGGCCATCCATGACCTTCTCCATCTCTTGTCGCTTTGCCAGAGCTATTCTCCTCGAAAGAATCTTTATTGGATGGTGATTGCCTGTGTTTATTCTGTGCTCTACAAGGTCTGTGCAGCCAAGGTCATGATCTCCTTTCGAAAGACGTCTGCATAATTCGCCAAAAGTTCCCTAACCTGAAGAGCCTGTGATATCGACAAATGGACTATGCTCTTCTTATAGAGGTCAGTTAAATGTTCTGGGAGAAGATGTCCTTTCTTTATGGTTATATTTCTTGCCTTAACATTGACTGGCTCTACCTCCAGGCACACACCCAACAATGCCCCTTCTTTAAGTTTCTGCTCACATTTAGATAAATTAGCAACTATTATGGGTACTATTTGCTGACCTGCCACAAGTGACCTTCCAATCTTCACATCCGCTGGCCTAGATGGGTCTTCCACTGCTTCCACAAGCATTGGGCTTCCTTGGGGATGTTCTTTTATTCTACCCCATATTATCTTCTCTGACATAAGGGGTTTTGTAGTTGACTTAAGTGCTGTGACATGCAAATCAACAGAAGCAGAAACACTTACCGGAATTTGGCCTTTGTTGCTTCCAAACGTCATTTTATCAAAATTAACCACACACTTCCTCGGTACTAAGTAGTCCAACCCTAGTATGCATTGGTCTTCAATGTCAGCCAAGTATACTTTGTGTCTGTCCTTCATGCCAATGAGCTCAATAGTTACCATCACTGGTCCCCACAACCTCGCAGAATGTCCTATCACACCACAGAGCTTCTGTATGGCTTCTGGTACTCCTTTGTGATCTAGCAAGGGTTGATACTCACAAGGGTTTGCTGAGATGCACAGTTCCAACAACCTTTCTGGGTAACAGCTTTTCCTGTCATGGCATCTTCCCTGTTTTGAAGTTGCCAGCATTGAGCTCTCTTGTGCCCAGGTTTGTTACAGTGCCAGCAAAGTCCCTCAAACTTCTCCAAAAGCTGCCCTCTTCTGATCTTGAGTCCCAATGATTGTACCAACCGTGGTACCTTTGTGCTGGACTTAACATAGGATTCGAATTCAAGAGCTCTGGCCATTGCATCCTGTATAGTAGAGGGGTGTGCTTATTTTACTTGTATCTTCAGTTGTGGACTGTCCAAGGCATCTACAGACTGATCCCTCAGCAACAACTTCAGGACATCAGGTGGTGCAGTTGAGTAGGCCTTGTGTGCCATACTTTCCAAATCCTGTGCCAGCACTTGCAGGCTCTCCCCTTTAACACGGACTCTAATCCTAAACCTCACTCTGTAGACTTCGGACTGATTTTGAGTTCCATACCCGAGTTCTAGAGCAGCTACTAGTGCTCTATACTTGTGCCTGTCGTCTGCTGACAACTGTCCTAGTATATCCAGTGGTTGTCCCTTAAGGGTCATTGCCAGGTACACTGCTTTCTGCTCCTCTGTCCATCCATTCATTTCTGCCAGGAGCTCAAATTGTGCTTTTTATGCTTCCCACAGTGCCTTCCCATCGAATTCCTGTGGCTTTCTTCGTACTAGATCATCCCTATTGCTGACACTCTTGTATGGAATCTGACTTCTGGCAGGACTGAAGATGTTTGCATTAGGGTTTAGCTGCGGGATCTGGAAGAGGCTTCCTGTTGTTTGAGGCTGATTAGGTCGATGGCTAATATATCCTCTTGTGTAAAATAGAGTAAATCATACTTTAATGTATTTAATTCACTTTGAAATTTGCTAATGTTTTCCATTTGTACTTCTTGCCACTGCTGTTGACTTTCCTGTAACTGCTGGAGACTTTCTTCCTGTTTCCTTTCTTGTTCCAGCTGCCACTGCTGTAATCTCTCTTCTTGTTTCTTTTCTTTTTCCTCCAAAAACTGCTGTAATCTCTCTTCTTGTTTATTTTGCTTTTCGAGCAGCCACTGTTGCTGGTTTTCTTGCAACTGCTGTTGTCTCTTTTTTGTTTATTTTCTTGTTTATTTTCTCATTCTTCTGGTTTCTTTTGTTGTTCATGTATTGCTGCCATCAAATCTGCTAAGCTGTAGTTTGATTTGCCACTTCTCGTTTCCATTTTTTTTTTCTGTCCCACTCTCTGACACCAATTTGTTACGCCTATGTGTTCGTTTGTTAATTTTCTGTAAAAATTCTTTCCGAAGAAACTTTAGTGATACAAGCCTTTTCTTAAATAAAACTAATTTATTCTTTCTCAATACAACTTTGCAATACACTTAATTTCCACAGTCACACTATAACTTAAACAAACACTATAATTCACAACGAACGATTCACGAGCTTGACTCAATTGTCCGTCTCTATCTCTGTCTGCAATTCAATTCCATTGTTGCGTCACTTCTTGGCAGTCTTATATACAAGAATAATGCACATCTAGTAAACACTCGAGGCTTCATGAATGGACATGAATTTTCTAGAAGCTCATGATGTGTTACTAGCATCACATGACTTCCGCTGTCATAACAGTACTTTAAAAAGTTAATATTGTATGAAGCAGTGTGTGAAATTTTTAGTCCTCAGTTGGAAAAAGGATGGGAACCAATGATCTAAACAACATGAAAGTAACTGCTACAAATCCTGAGATGCCAAGGGAACTACATCTTTGTGGGGGGTAAAGGAAAAGAAGGTTATATATGCCATAGCTTCTATGGCACAATGCAAACATACAAACAGATTTGCTGTAAGCCCTATGCCACAGTTCAGCAAAATGGTTAAAAAAAGGTTTTGAGAATTTTAAGTTTCTATATCAACATATCCATGGTTCTCATACATAACTTTTTTGATAAAATCCATGACTTTCCCTGATAACATTATCAAATGTTTATCTTGCAGTATTTCTAAATTTTCCCTTATAGTACAGTTCAAACACTCTCACTTTCATGAGATAAACTTCATTGTACAGTTCAGTATGGTCAGGGTCACACATTTCTGGTCAGCACCACTAAATGCTGCTGTAGTCTAATTTCTACATTGCAAAGTATTTAGATTTTCTGAATGAGCTTACCTTTAAAGTGACAAATACATCAGATGGAAAAATATTTTCATATTATTTTTTCTTTCATGTGATTATAGAATATTTTACATTTTACATTCTGTATTGCACTTTGAGAGTGTTATTCCATATTTCATGTTCTGTGACACAGAAAAAGTAATTTCCTGACCAACAGTCCAATCCCTTCATTTCCCTGACCAGTTTCAATTTTCGTGACTTTTCCTAATTTTCCAGGTTTGTGGGAACCCTGTATAATGGAGACAGCAACATGTACTTGCAACTGAAAATAAGCTTTTGAAGTTTTAGAGATACATGTATACATATATAAATATAAAGATAAAGATACATACCTAATTCCGGAATGCTTCCCTTGGTCATCTGAGTTGCTATCCATCCTAACCTTAAATATGAATTAATAGTTTGAGAAGTATAGAACAGGTCACCAAAAAGAAACTGGCTGTTCTCCTGAATACATTACCTGAAAGACAAGGGGGTATGATACCTAGATTTAATTTTTCCATTATATCACCTTCTAAAAGAAACTATCATATGAAAAGTGGGAAAACTAAATCATATACATCACAGATTAAAGTTGGAGGTTAGTTTTAAAACTAGAATTGACTATATTGCACCCTAATTCATTGCCAATGCATTTGAGATCATTGGTTTAAGACTGTGCAAACAATCTGGATCCAACACAGCAAAAGCAACTCAGTGACTTGTTCGTTGAATATTCCAATGTACTTGTAAACTTAAGAACCTGATAATGGTATTCCAGCAGATAAAAAATGCAAGATTGAAATTGAAACTAGGAAAAGGTACACTCATGCACACAGATGTGGAATTTATCAGTCATATAATAGTTTCTACAGACCCTACAAAGACAGCAGGGGTGAAAGACTACCCTCAATCTGTGAGCAAGTGCAAAGTCCATGGTTTCCTTGGTTTTGCATCATATTACCAATGTTTTGTGGCCAACTTCTTAAAGGTAGCATTGTTTGCTCACACTAAAACTGTGATGCACTTTGGATGAAGCAAGGAAAGGAAACAGGCATCCTAATCCTTAAAGCTTGGTTTAGTGGATGCTCCATGACAAGACAGAGAGTTCTTATTGGTTACTGACAGCAGTGATAATAATTGGAGCAATGTTATCACAATTATACGAAAGAGTAGAACATGTAATCATGAATGCTAGTTGTATGCTCATGGCTCCTGAACAAAGATACTGTATGTCAAAGAACTGCTTACAGTGGTACTCTTCATAAAACACTATTGACACTATATGTGTGATAGGAAGTTCATTGTCCAGGTGAACCATCCTTTCCTAAAATAGTTAATATACTTTAAAATTCCAGAAGGGATAACATCACATTGGAAAACAACATAGCAATGTCAAGACTTACAGTAGGAAATTCCACTAGTGGATGAATACCATGATTAACACATTGAGCGCTCCAAGAAAAGCAACTGAAGGACCTAAATCTAGCAATGGTGCTCCTCACAATGCACCAATGTAAATCTCATCCAGCACAGATAAAGGAACATAGCACAGATGCACTTAACCAGTAGCCCTTGTATGATCAGTTATGAGTTCAGAAAGGTGTGCTGTATACCAACATTATCAATCACCGAGCCATGGTTCTCAGACAATGCTGCAGCTAGTGGTCCCCAGAGCTCTAAGGCAAAACATTCTTCACACATTGCATAACACAAAGACGGGAGAGCAGAAAGGTGTTACCTGTACCTGTGCTAACACTTGGAGGCAATTCTACTGGCCACATTCATGTGAAGATGTTCCATGTGCAGTGAGGGAGTTGTGTTAGTAAACTGTAGTAATAGCATGAATATTGATTTAAAATAACTTAAAAAACAGTGCAATTTTTATGTCTGATAAATCCTTTTGTATACAAAAAAACATGTGTATCACACATAAAATATATATGTTTGAAATTATAAGATACACATGAAGTATGCAGACATACCATGTTTTTCTACCTCCTTATTTTAATATGGGAATTTGTCAAAATGTTTTGTTTATTCTAGGTATGTGCAGTTTTTACATAAAATATCATTAAGTTCATTTCATTCTTGCTACCTTTGTTCTTTGTCATCCTTCAGACACAGCACCTGTCCTGCCTATGTGGGGTATAGTTGCAAAGCTGCATCTTTTTGCATGAAGGTTGACAGCAGTGTCTGCCAATGGTAGATGAGGAGATGTCTTGAGGTTACAACCTCTCTTATATCTGTGTGTAGCACTAGTTGATTTGTGTTGTATTAAAAAACATTGTTCCACTGTGTAATACACTTTGGTTCCTCTACAGTCTATTTATTTCTTAGCACAGAATCAGTTAATTTTAGCAGATCTCAATATTACTTTGCACTATATATTGCTGAACCCACACCCCCATTATACAGGGGACTTACTCTTTCAGAAAACTGATTGAACTGAAAATATCATACATACAATCTTTGGCATTATGCACTTATACAAAGTTATGCATATATTATTTTGTCAAAAGGAAAAGTTTCATCTAATAAAAAAGTTATAAATCAAGGCTTGTTGTTAATGACAGGCCATTCCAAACAGCATTGAATGAAATTTGTCACACCACACTCCACATATAATATAAAATGCTGTCTCCTTAATCATTTATCAACTTATGAGAACAGATCATGTTGTGTGCAAACACTGTGAATAAATATGCTTCACAATTGTTTGAGTAATGCTACAGTAGGAAAGAATAGATACTCCATACTGAAATACTCTCTATGTTGTAATCGTATGTGACTGATAGACTCTGGTGCTGAACAATTTACCAGTATCTCTTTCAAATTGTAAGCAAACAAACTAATTTAAATTCTAAATGAGCTATGAATTATCTTCTATGCTTTAATTTACTGGTTAATGAATTTAAAACTAATTTGTTTAAATAATGCTAGGCACTTTCAACATTATGTAATTTTTTTGCTTGAATCTTACAAAATAGCCCACCTATTGAACTTCATGCCTGTTGTAAAATACATTGTTTTTACTTTGCTTTGTTTTTAACCCATTGTTTAGCATCTAGTTATTTAACTTGTGCATGTGTTTTTATAACTTACCTATCAAATATTCATAAGGCCTGGTGAAGAGCAGTCACTCAAAGCAGTGCTAAAATAAATCTATGCTTTATTTAATTCAACACTGTTTTTAAAAATTGCATTGCGAATGCCTACATCATAAACCAAATGGAATTTTATATTTACAGCTTTTCATTTCAATGCTGTATTACTAATTACTCATATCTTAAAATACTAACAAATGATAAACACCCATGATAACATTATGCAAGTTACAAGCAGAAATAAATTTATTTCATATCTGAGTTAATGGTAAAATGTGTTCCAGATTTATTAATCTTTATAAAGTGGTAGGAATGTTACCAATATACAATTATGATCCACTACAATACTTGCATTCTTATCAGTTTTCTTTAACGATTGAATTACATCAGTAAAAACATTACTAATTTTTGTACTTTACATATATAAATGACATAACTGCATTTATTTCTATATATTGTTTTATTTGCAAATTAAAACAAAAAACAGGAAAAAAATTGAAAACTAGAATAAAAGAGTCTTGAGATAATTTTTACTCATTTTATAAATGGGCTAATAAAAAAGTGTATTCCTTCCAGAGTATTGATTCAACAAAAAGACCTATTCCAAAGAGAATAAATTAATAGAAAAAGCAAGAGGTTGGAAGTTACTTAATGGTGTATAAAAGCAATCTTCAAATTAAGGAAAAAGATAAAGAATGCTGTTTTGAAATAAATTTAAAAACTCAAGAACATAAAACTCCTGGTATTGAGGAAATGAATCCTAAAATTTTATAGAAATTGAATAAGAAGATGGCTGGTCCTTTAATAGGTTATTTTTTAACTACTCAACAATGGAAATATTTTTGCCTGAAAAAAAAAAAGGAAGAAACTAATCAATTTAACTTCTGTTATTTTGATAAGATGTTGGAATCTATTTTTAAGAGATCATTTGGAAGATTACCTTGAATACTGAAAATTAATAAATAGTCTTTAGCATGATTTCAGGATATTTGTTTATAGTCTCATCAATTTTCTAGCTTGAGTTTGGTTTTTGTGGATGTTGTTTATTTGAAATTTCTGAAACTTTTGATAAAAGACTACAAACAAAACGTTTATTGTACAGTTGAAATGATTTTGTCTGTTTATTTTTAGTACAAAGCTATACAATGGGTTATCTAAGATCTGCCAACCAGAAGTATAAAAAAACCAGATTTTTAGAATTATATGACCTCAGACTTACCACTGAGCCACTGAAGGGGCAGATGAAATAGAATTGGTGAAAAAATTAAGAAAATACTTGAAAAGTAACTCAATGAAACTGCAGGAAGCAGAAGGTAGTAATATATGAGCAGTTTTTAAACTGGATAAATGTAATTCTTGGGTCTATTTTGGACCTCTTTTGTGGATTATTTCATAAACAAAGAAAATTAAAACAACATGGGCTACAAAATATTTAAATTGCCTAATGACATAAAGTAAATAGAAAAGCTGATGCAGAGGATAAAATTTCATTTCTGAAGAGTTTTGGATTACATAGTAAATGGTCAAGTGCTAAAGCAATGTGTTTCAATACTCAGAAGTGAAGAGTTATCTATGCAAGATACAAAAGCTTAAATATGGCTAACATAACAGCAAGATATATATTGATGATGTGGAGAAGAGGAAAAATCTGTATGTGTTTTTTCAGAAAATAACAATTTCAAGTAGGTTTCTTATCTTTAATTATTAAGGATAGCCAGGTATTGTGACCTATCAATAAAATCTTTCAATTTATTGGTAAGAAGATAACTGACACATTGTATTTGACTTTTGTTAGGTCTCTGTAGGAGTACTGTTTCAGTATTGGTCTTATTATAAGTAAGATACAATCAAAAACACCTTAAATGTGAAAAAAAGGTGCAGCCAAGAAGGATTCAGGATGCAATTTAATGGAATGAAATCAAAATTGGTGGCTAAACTGGTAGCTACACTTATAGCATTGATAAAAATTTTACAGCAAATATTCAATTATTAGTTAGCAAGGCCACATTTTTTGTTCAACTTTGGGCATGATGGTGGGTAAAATAAAACATGTGGCTTAAGGTGTTTTGATTAGAAAAGAGACAGTCCTCAGAAAAGACTCATGCAGAAAATGAAAAAAACATTTGAGCCCTGGTATCAGAAGCCTCATGGCATGAAAACAAAGAAGTAGGCTGAGCCTGTCCCCATATGAAATAAGAGAGACCCCAAATGAATGAAATACAATGTAAAGTGGAGACTGAAATGGAGAGCTGAACCTACCACTCCAAACAAGATGCCTCTCAAAAAAGACAGGACACAATAGAGGAAGCTACATTGGAAGGAGCAAGTAGAGACCAAAAATATATATAGTAGTGGGATAACAGACCTCAAGACT